TAAAAACATCTTTAAATGATTTGAATATCATCTCTAATCCACCATTTTTATATAAAACATGCAATGTAAAGTATAGAATAGTATAGAATAGATTTAAGAAAAGTATATAATAGATTTAAATATCATCTCTAATCCACCATTTTTATTCAGAACATATAATGTAAAGTATAGAATAGTACCCAATGTAAAAAGACTCTCAAAAAACTTGTGTTAATGCAAGCAGTGGTGGACAAACGTAGAAAAAATTCATTCTCAAAAATTACACTATTATATACTATTTTATAGAACAAACATTCAACTTTTATAAAATGTATATAATTTTTTATAATTATCATGCCCTATGATTCTAAGCTCATACCTCCCCACAACAGTGTTTATGTTTGAAAAAAGTGTACAAGCCCAAATTAAATTTTTATAGCAAGGTATGATTATAGTGTACACAAAAAAGTATTTCACAAAGTTTGAAAAACATGTCCTGAAAAAAAAAGATGGTTATTGTGAGAGGATAAATTTGTGTGTTATTTTCTCATTAATATATACAGAAAAATTACCGGCTTAAAATGAACTTCGTAGAAATACTTATTTAAGGCTTAGGCAAGTAGCTAATACGTTAACTCTTTAATAAATACCATTATTTAAAATAACATTTTATTTCGTATCAATAAATCGAAGAATCTTGTCAAAATCAATGAAAATAAATAATTTAGTTTAAACAGCCGATGTAGACTGAACATAATAAAGCCTCGCTCTGCGTTTCTTTTTGAAACTGTAAAAGATCACCCTCCTGTTTTTATGACAATTTTTGATTCTTCAACCTTTGCTTTAATTTTATCTGCAGCTAATTTATCTCCTGGTTCAAGATTCAGAACGTTTTCAATCATCTGACCAAGGTTTGTTGAACCAAAATGCTTTGTACACGTATGACCTCGTAATAAATCAATGAATTGAAAGCACTGATTACATATAGTTATACGCATTTTTTTGAATGGTTTCTCCTGAACTCTTGGTTTACCTCCGGGTTTAGTTCTTTTTGTCCCAGATTTTATTGATTTTACTACTTTTCAAATAGTACAATCACAGAGATTTTTACTTCTGGTTAGGATGGAGAGAAATACTCCTGATATATAAAACTTCTTTCAAAGAAGCTGATACTTTTAATCAGAGTTTAACACTATTCACCGAGATCTTAGAAAGTTTTGATATGGATCAATTTTCTTCTATCAACATTACTCTTTTCGATGAAGATCCTGTAAGAAAAAACCTTAGAAAGTGTGTTCAATGTCGATATCGTTAACAGAAAAACAGCTTCACAAAGATTTTAATAAATTTTTATCTAATTGCAAACAAAATAGTCAACAATTACACCAATTACCAGAAGTAAATTTGTTATCGACTGTAAAAGAGCTCGTCGGTTGCGTTAAAACAATCAAACCAGAAAACAAGAAAATCAGTGACGACCTACATTTATGACAAGGAAAGTATGGATGTATTACAGCAAACCCAGTAAGCACAGTTTTAATAAGTTTTTTAAACGTTTTAAAAACATCCTTACTGGGAACGTGCAAAAAAATAAAAAAATAAAAAAAATGTGCTGCTTTCTATAAGCTCCAGTAATTTGTCAATTCAAAAACCGCTTAATACTGAGAAATCTTTTGTCTCTGGTTCAATAGAAAATCATTTCTCAAATACTGAAAATACTTTGAATGATATACCTTTACGTTTCCCTTATGATGAGACAACCATTATACAGTCTATTTTAAAAATATGCGAAAACGAAAATCAAAATAGAGCCACCTATGCTAAAAAGGTTCAAATGCAACCATCACTTATTGAAAAAAGAGAGGAATGGAAAAAAAAAGATTGTTCCTTTTTGGTAGTTAAAAAAAAAAATGTAGCTGGTAAAGCTCCAAGAAAAAAGCCTGGAATGAAGCCTTTTTTTGGAAATAGGGCTGCATTCAGGAGAAACTCTATTGCAGGCAAACAAAAGGTGCAAAAATTTTATATCTTTGTATGAGGGGTCTGTAACTCAATATCGAAAGAATATCTGTCTAACCACGTCAAAAATGAAATAGGTATCGAACCGATTGATGTAGAACTTAAAAGTTAAAATAAATACAATCGTTCGTTCAAAGTGAAGATAAAAAGTACTGAAAAAGACATAATCGTAAACCCTGATGTTTGGGACAATAATATTATCGTTAAACCTTTCAGGCTTCAACGTGATACCTCAAGAAGCAAAACATCACAGCAGAATGCAGTTAAAACGCTACATTTTGAACAACCACCTCAAAAAATATTTTTTACATTTCAAGAATAACCTTCTTTCGTACAGTAACATTCTTACTCAACTCAAATACCAAATTTTAATTCAAAAAGGAAGAAAAACCTTTAAAAATATTTCTTTTTTTGCGTATAACGGCAAAAGTTTTAAATCGAGCTCAATTTATATTTCCATACTCGTCAAATCATTTGATATTATCTTTCTATCGGAACATTGGCTTTTGAATATTGAACCTTTGTGCTAAAAAACATACCGTTGCCGACACATAAAAATTTTTCATGCGGCAGGAAAAAAGGCATATGGAAGACCATTTGAAGGAAACGCATCTATTGTTAAAAAAGATGTTCTGTTGTCTCCTCGCATAATTTATGAAGATGAACATATTCTCGCGATTAAAGATAAAAAAAGTGCTAAAATCTAGTCTTAGTTGGTATTTATCTTACATCATGTCAAAATAACGAGGAATCTCTTTCAAAGTGCATGCAACAATTAAACCTAATTACGTCAGTAATAAAAAGCTACGAAGATGTAAGTGAATGTATTATTGCTAAACTTTATAATAGTATTCTAACAAATGGAAAGGTACTAAACGTTCTACCAATTTCAACAATTATTCCACTTGTTAAGTTATATAAAAAATGACCTAATAATTCAGATAATTACCGAGGAATTAGTATTTTGCCTATCTTAACTTAACTTCTAGAATATCTAATACTACTTATATATCCTAGTATAAAAAATAGCCATTTACATCATTTTGGTTTTAATAAAAACAGCTCTACACTCCACGTAGAACTTTTATTGAGTGAAACTGGTAAGCACTATAAAATCAATAACACACCTTTATATGTGTGGAGTTTAGATGCAAATAAAGCTTTTGATACTTGCAACTGAAATTTGCTATTTGAGAAGCTCTATTTCCAAAATTGGATATGTTTGCGGTACCAGAAAGATAAAGCGAATTCATCGCTTTATCTTTCTGGCACTGAAAACATATCCTATTGAGGAGTTACCTCAAATCAATTTAGTCTGTCAAAAGGGGTGCAACAACGGTCTATTGTATTGCCGCATTTATATAACATTTATACTGAAAGGATTCTAAATGTAAAGTAGGATCAACAATAAATGGCATTTATACTGGTGTAATTGCATACACAGATGATGTAATTTTGCTAAGTCCTACAATCTCTGGTCTGCAAGAATTTATGAAGCTAAACACTGAGAACACAGGTTTTCTGATTTCTGGAAAAAGCAATATTTACAACAACGTTATTCAAATTAACGGAGCTTCTATATACCTTCAAAATAAATTAAAACATATGTGTTTCCAATGGGATAACGATACTAGAAAAAACTCCAAAAAACAAATTTAAATGAGCGTATATCTCATTTTTAATCGGTTGCAATAGCTCTAATCGACAGTGGGATTTGTTACTGCCAGCTGTCAACAATAGTCCATTTGTACAATACCTTAACTGAGCAGAAGCTTATTTATGGTTTCGAGCTATGCAAATATGATATTAGTTTTTTAGCAAAATAGACGCTGTTGGAAGATCAGTTTTAAAATCATTTTTCTGTATCTCGAAATACAGTAAAATTATCTACATCAGGTTTTTAAAACAGAGGATATTTTAACTAATATGCTTAGGAATATTAATATAGTCAAGTACAACCTCCAACTTGTAATGGCAACTCTGCCATTTACTTGTTCCGGAAAATGTTAGTTGAGGTAATATTAATTTAACATTCGTTTGAGGGACAGTCAAAATGTCAGGGGATTTGGGCATCTTAAAAATATCAACTTTTTTTGCAAAGAAAACTGATTTTAACTTCTTTTATAAGAGAATTTGAATAAAATACTTTTCCAATATAATACTTAGTCTTTTTTGCTGTTCCAATTTTATCTAAAACAAGGTCCTCTTTTTTCAGGCGGTTTTTTATTACTATTCTGTGAACTAACTTATATTTTTTTTGGCAATTTGGTCTAACTTTTTATCAAAAAATATTTTCTTAATCCGATTAAACACGTATATTATATATTATGATTGCTATAGACACTCAGAAGTGTCTAAAAGAACACCGATGAGTATTTTTAAAGGTGTGTTTATAACGCTCTATCAAGAGCTCTATCAAGGTCTTTTAACATTTTAAGCATTCTTTATAATAATAAAATTAACTTTCTTTATTTAAACGCATGGCATGACAATTCACGAATCCACTTTTTCATATTTGGACCTAACAATCACTTGCACGAGTATTTTATATTTAAAAGCAAATTACAGAGAAAACATTAAGCCAAGGTTTTAAGAGATCCTTAGAAAGTCCGTACTGATTATCTGGGTTCTTAGATTAGGTCTGGCCATAAAGCTGCAAAAAAAAAAAGCCACGCTTTACTACAGAGTAGTAAAAAAGAGCCATGCTTTACTACTAAGTAGTAGAGCGTGGTTGTTTTTTAATTTCTATTTTTGTCATCAAAAAATAAAAAATAATAATATTATAGCTAGTATAGTATTGTCATTAATATTACACAATTTATTTTTTATATAACAAAGTCTTCCATTTTTTTGTTGTTGTAGTTGAGGTTCCTATTTACTACTGTCCTCTTCACTACCTCTTCCACTGTAATCAGAACTAGCGCGATCTTAGTGACATTTTAAATTTAATTTCTTCTTTAATTGTGCCGGTAAATTTTTTAATTTGTATCATTTAAAAACGATAGTTATGTCTAAATTATGGATTCTTACGCATAAGAGATCGTTATATATAATTATATTGACGATATAAACACCTGTATGCTAACATAAAAAAGTAAATAATATATTAAATATAAATGAGAACTGTTGATATCATACTAAATGTACATGTTACATGTACAAGCAATTTGTTAAGCATCCATGAAATATGGTCACAACCCTTCCTTAAGTTACATCGATGACAACTAAAAAAAAAATTAGATTACAACATAAATGTATTATACCCATCATATTATATTTCATTGTCGAGGGCTGTACTCACATAAAGAAAAACAAAAAAAACTTACCTTATTCTTCGGATGGTTTTCAACTTCAGAATATTGCAGAAATAAAATGAGAACACTGGATAAAGCAGAAATTCTGAGAACAGGATCATTACCAAGATGTGAATTTTATCCACATGTTTGTAGTGATCAAGAACTTCAAACTACATGATGTAGTTTGTAATTCTTGTTGTCGCTCAAAATTGGTCAATGTAGACTGGGTTGAAGCCAGTTCACGGAGAGTTTGCATTTTTAAGAAACTGTCTTGTCATGAAAATGACAATTAAAATTAAAAATGGTGGTATTTATAACTTATAGTAATCATAATATAAATACAATAAATAAAATATTCAAGCCTTGTTAAATAAAGCAGTTTAGTCAAACATCAATCATAATATCCTGGGCAAGTTTTGCGACATCGGTTGGGAAGGAGGCGTGAACTTCTTATTAAATGCTCTTCCGCGGTGCTCTGTGATAAAACCGTAAGGACTTCTTGGGGCACCTAAAATCAACATTAAAAAAAAAAAAAAGTACTTATTTTATTTGGGTCAGGATTTTATAAAAAATGCGAAACCTGGATTTGCTCAATCGAAAAAAGTTTCAATTAGTTTATTCAGATAAATCATTTTAAGATCTTTTAGTCTCCAAAAAAATATCCACTTCTTTACGACTTTTTCTTTTTTTTTTGTTGAAGTCATTTTTTATTTTATGTGCTGAAAGTTATATTTTACATATTTTATAATAATTTATAATGATCATTCATATTAATTTAAATGCATTGTTAGAAATAATAAAACTACCATTCTATTGGAATTACAATAATATACATTTATTGTAAAGACATTTTCATAAATTTTGTGTTAAACAGCAAATTTATTTCCAAACAAATTTAAACTCCATAGTTTCAGATTAGCGCATATTATATCATTCTTTTTATACTGAGTTGGAATTTGCAGAAAACTCTTGCCTACTTAGGACTAGCCCTGATTATGCCTGAACCCATCCCCTAATAGGGTTATCCCAAAGCACTTAAAAACTGTTTTAGTGTATAAGTTATTTATAACAAAATGAATAAATTGTTTATAATAAAAAGTTACAGTTGTGTCATACAAATTTACTCTCAATACTGGTCTGTATACAATTGTTATTTTGAATAATTTAGCAATAAAAACTGAAAAACTAACAAACAAAATATAACACTATATATTATAACAAAATATAACAAACTTGAAACATAGTTTGTTGAAATTTAAATATTAAGTACAAAAAAATTTTTTTTAATATAAATTTCAAATCTTAATTCATATCATAAACAATATATATTGCTTGACAAATATATATTGTTAAAACTTTAAACAATTTAATCACATAAAATAAATTAAAATTTAGTTGCAAATTTATGCAGTTATGCGCATGCGCTTTAATACAAAATTTAGATCTTTGGGAAGACCAAATGAATAGTACAGTAAAGAACTCCACTCAACTACTCATTTAAATGTATTAACTAAAATGTATTAATATGCACTTAAAAAGTAAAGCACACTTGAAAGTACAGACTAGAGCATCGTATTATTTTCATATAAAAGTGAGCTTAATTTTATATATGCGCATTACAAAATTTACTCTTCAATCAACTCTCCAAGCGGAGTTTATCGTAGAGCCACAGGAACTCTTCTAGCTCATATATATATATATATATATATATATATATATATATATATATATATATATATATATATATATATATATATATATATATATATATATATATATATATATATATATATATATATATATATATATATATATATATATATATATATATATATATGTATATATATATATATATATATATATATATATATATATATATATATATATATATATATATATATATATATATATATATATATATATATATATATATATATATATATATATATGAACTAATTAAATAATATAATTTTTTAAGCTAAGTTTTTTTCATAAGAACTTGTGCGTGGTTTTTTTGAACAGAAAATTTCTTACTAAACGAGGCGCCAAGAACACAATTTGTTTTAAACTTATCACAAGTATTTTGTTTCTTTAAAAAAGGATTTATATATTATGCATTGGTATTTATTAAAGTAGATGACGTACTAATCAGTATTGATAAAGTATTTTCGGACGGAACTTTGAATGAAGAAAATAGAGTTGTTGACATATTTAAAAAAAACTATGGCAACAATCTGGAAAGTATACAAACTCATTTAACAATATTCAAAAAATGGCTACTTTCAGTTTTACGGAATCGTTTATGTTGGCTTAGTTCCAAAAGCTAAAGTAATATTTTTTGAATAGTTTTAAAATAGTTTTAAAATATTTTTTAAAATAGTTTTAAAATAGTTTTAAAATATTTTAAAAATACTTTTAGTTTGCATTTAAAGTAAACTTAATTTGTTCTATTTGGTGGTACTAAAAGCTACAACATAATAAAAGCTTTTCCAAGAAAAACTCTAAATGCGAAAGATAAATAATGAAATTTTTTATTTTATTTTATTATTCTTAATTTTTGATTTTTTTCTTTTTTTTTAGAAAAAAGTTAACATCTTGTTTAAAGAAAAATCACCTTCTACCTGAGAAGTATAAACTATTTCATTGGTATCCTATTTTTATTAATAGTATTAGCATAAATATAGTTATGTTTAATATACAATTCATTGACATAAATGATTTTTTTTGATATTATTTTAAAATGATTGTAAGAAGTTTTTTTTTAGGATAAAAATGACCTTGCTTTTCATATATTTGTCTTTAATAATGATTGATGCCAAATATAAGACCAGATCAGATAACTAGGGGCGGTGTAATAATTTAAGATTCAGTTAGTACCATTAACCTAGTGAACAATGTTTACAATCATAGTTTTCTAGACTCGTTTTGAAATCAATGACTTTGAAAACTACTAAATGTAAAGTCTATATTTATTCAATTTTAAACTATTTACAGTTTAAATTTTGTACATCTATAACAAAGAGACTTTTTACTAAAAAATATCTTTTTAAACAACATGGGTTGATTTCTGCAAAACAACGCTTATAGAAAAATAACTTCAAATGTTATTGAACTTATATAGTTTATTATAAATTATTATTATCTTAAATATAAGATTTATAACGTTTTTTAACACTTACTAAGATATGGTTTTAATCGTTGAATGAAATTAAACTTATATTACATTACTTAAGAACAGCATCAACCAATTCGTTGACCGCATAAACTTTAATCCGGTTTTATCACAATTTTAATTTTCATAAAAACAATGCATGTTTTCATTAACGCGAGATTTACATTATCTTTAGTCCAGTATATTTTTACAATATCTAAGGCAAATTCACCTTTAGGTTTGTCCTAATGCAGCAATTTGGCTTTAAACTAAATTAATTAATGTTAAAAACAAATAGTAATAGTACGCTGCTGTTAGTATGTTATTTGCTGTTATTATTATATTTATGTTAAAAATATTTGAATCAATAATTTTATTTATTTTAAAAAAGGCACTAAAAAATGTTTAAAACAGTCTAGCATTCAAATATTTTTTTTAGAAAAATACCTCGAGTTTCAATTCAATTATATTTTTGCACATCATTTAGATTTTTTGACTAAAAAAAAGATTTTAAACAAGTTTTCATTAATTTAAAAAATACTTTTTCTAAATAATAATTTGTTATAAAATCATTAATAAAAAAAATCATGTATCTCTGTATTTGAATCGATCTAGATCTTAGAGATTATTAAAATCATCTGTTGATAATGTTACAAAAGAATGTTGATGATAGATATTGATAACAGGAAAATAATAATATTATTATAAGGTAGTGTTAACCCATTTTTAGGGAAGAATGAAATTCATTTTTTTTTTTTCATATTTATGCACTGATTTTGAACTGGATTCTATTTACTCATAAAGATTCGTTAAAAAAAAAAATTATAAGCTTCATTAAAATGTATAGTTTTATCAATGAAATATATATTATTCTCTCTGATTGGTAAATAAAACACTTTTAAAAACAGTTTACCGCATTAAAAGTTAAAAAAATGCGTGATCGAGGTCAAACTATTTGATAAAGGTCGGTGGAATAAAAGCATATCGTTTGAAAATTTAGCAATCACCAAGATGATCGACAAACTTAGCCGGTCATGATTATATTTTAGTTTTATAAAAGTCTAACTCTTTGATTATTTTCATATCTATTAATAACATGAGTTTATTATTATTTTTTATTCAACACATTTTTTCAACATGATTGTTTTATATTTTTAAATAATTAATAGACCGTTTATTTTTTTTTTGACGGTTTTTCTCTAATCTTGTTTACGCAACCATAAATAATCTTACTCATTTATCGAGTTATCGTTACAGGTTTCATCGACTTAAGTTTAATATAAAATATACTCGGATTAGAAGAAATTTATGTATGGCTGAAAAGCACAGAATTCCAAAAGTTGGACAAAGACAAGATTGCAAGTAAGATAATTTTTTTTGTTATTATGAAATACTCTGCTTTAAAATGTAATTCTGTGTAATCAACGTCATGTACTCTTACCGTTTGCTTAAGAAAACTTAAAATACTCAGCCGGCATTTGTTCCTTATAAGACGTCTTTTAAACACTCAAAAGATATTATTTTAGAACAAAATGCCGGCTGGGTATGGTAGAAGACTCCCTCTAGAGCTAAGTGCATGCTAAGACTTGTTTAAAAAAGTCAACTAACATGACTACTATATAACAATAGCTTGCGCGCTATACATTTGTATGACTACAGTTCGCGTGCTGTACGTGTGTATGATTAAAGTTTGCGCACTGTACGTGTGTATGACAAAAACTGTGTAATGAAATCCCTGAATAAAATTTGTCTAGTAAGATATCTAACCAAGTAAGACATCTAACCTAACATAAGTGGTAAAACGTCTCTGTTGAAATTTAGCATCACAACTTTTTTATACAAACGCGTTTTATATTTTAAAAAAGTAACATAAACTTAAATAAAAAAAATATATGAAGATATTTGCCCGCAAACACCATGCATTGCATTTTTTATATCGTGTTTGACTCGTATAAATGTCGTGTTTGACTCGAATAAAATTACGAAAATCTGCGAATATGTGCTTAAACTCTTTTTTCTTGTTTATGAAGTTTATTGTTCTATACTGTTAGATGTCCAATTAATCTTTTTTCTACTTTTCAATTATCATGTTTCGTATTTAACTATCATGCTTCATATTGTCCATTTAAACAATTGAAAAATTAAAATCATTGAAGAAAAAACAATGTTGGTGCGAAAAACTTCTTGAAAAGAGAACACCTGAATCCACCCAGCGGGTACAGAACGTTTGTTGATGTCCTTAATGTGGTAACTTTATGGTGATAGACCACAAAATAGATACTTTTTATGAAATGTTAAAAAAAAATTGTTAAAAATATGCAGAAATCTTATCACCAAGAGAAAGATAGTATTTTCGGATAAAATATTTTTGGAAAAAATATTTGAAAAACTTTTCCAAAAAAAACATAATTTTATAACACTTTATTCTTGTGCAAAACTTTTTAACTATATTAAGACTTAAAAACCATGAACCAAATTTATATCATATTGATGTGCTGATGACATTAAGTTAATATACTTTACAGATAGATTTTTAGTCTTTTTATAAATAAAGATATGATCTTTTTTTAAATAAGTTAAATAAGTTTTTAAATAAATTTATTATATTTACAAGCAATTTAAGGAAGTTAAAAGTATGAGTTTGAAAAATAGCTAAACAAATTCTACTTTTGTAAATTTTTAATACATTTCTAAATGTAAACTCTGCTTTGTACATACACCAAAAGAAGTAAGTAAATGTAAGCTCTGCTTTGTACATATATCAAAAGAAGTAAAAACATGTAAACTCTGCTTTGTACATACACCAAAAGAAGTAAGAAAATGTAAACTCTGCTTTGTACATACACCAAAAGAAGTAAGAAATTTTTTTGAATAAGATAAGTTCAAAAACAATTTTTTGGTACATTTTTCTAAAATAGGTATTTTAAATGAAGTCTACCACCAACGTGGTACCTCCCTAGACCTACCACTGTGGTCTACATCGTCGGTACCTACCTACGACGGACATCGTACAGACTTGTGAGGTCATTAAAAGGTTGTATAGATGTTGTACGGACGTCTGAGCCCACTGGGCAAATATGATTAATATGAAGGTGTTTTTGAACAAAGTATAAATCGTTCTAAGAAAATGTATTATATAAACCAACTGCTAAAATACAATGGAAAAATTCAGAAAACTTGGAATGTTGCGGACATTTATTTCAGGCATCCCTTTTAGTAAGTCCGTAAAAAATCTTATATGAAACGAATATTGTTGAAAACCAAACCCTAACCCTAATTCTTAGGTTTAAGCTCAGGGTTAGGCTTAAGGTATGGTTAGGGTATGGCTTTCAATAAAATAAACTTTATCATTGGGCTCAGGGTTAGAGAATAATTTCAATAAATATTATGTGTAAAACGTGACACTTTTTTGTTCGGACTTACTAAAATGGGATGGCGGACGTACACGTCCACCGGAATGTCTTTAGAGAATTAACTAAAAATGTTTTAAAAAATTGCCTTTTAAAAAACAACATTTAAATATATTTAGTAAACAAATTATAAATACATTTAGTGAACCAACAATTGAAAAAACATTTACTCAATTTTTTGTTGGTGCATGATCAGGTTTAGCTTTCAAACTAAAACCCATTAAATTTAGCGTTAACTCATGTTTAATTGCTAACAAAACAATAATAACACTAAATTAACTGAAAATTAAGTGCTTTTCATTAAATAAAAACGAATAAAGGGCTAGGTATAGATGAAATAAGCAGTAACACTGTAATAAAACTTATACATTACTTAAAAGCATTATTGTATGTTTTTAATCTTTTTCCAGAACAAGAAAATATTTCCAGAAAACCTTAAAACAAAAGCAGTTATACCATGGTTTGTTCCTATATAAACAACTTTAAACAAGTTGTAAATTATAACAAAACCTGTACCCAATTGAAAAACATTGCATATCCTCAGGGATCCTCAGGGATCTATTTTTGGCCCTTTATTGTTTATTATTTGTATAAACAACGTTTACTTAATGTCTATTAAGTAAAATTTCAATCTTTTTGCTGATGATACTCAAGTATTCTATACTCACTTTAACATTACGACACTCTTTACTCTAAATAAAGAACATAAAACCTAACAAACGGTTCAACGCTAAAAATCTCTCTCATAAAATAATTAAAAGCTAGTGCACTTTTTTTGAATGTTTTCTAAATCTGACACCTTGCTCTTAAAGTTTACAAATATTAAAAATTAAAAAACAGAAAAAAACTAACTAGGTGTAGTTCTTAATGAACAAGTAAGTTGGAAGGAAGACATTAACTTAATAGAAAACAAAATTTCAAAATACGTTAAAATTCTATACAAAAAAAGTTATATGTTGGATAAAATATCTTTAAAATACTTTTCATTTATCCATGTCTATAAAATTTATTTTAATACCGTCTGGATAACCACTTACCCATCAAAACTAACAGGTATTGATAAAAAACAAAAACAAGATAGCCGCCATATAATTAATGCTAATAAATACAACAATGTCAGTCGACTGTTTAGAGAGCTTGAAGCGCTAAAAGTTTATGAACTAAACATTTATAGTTAGGGCCGTCCCGAAGAGGTCGGGATAGCCCTAACTATAAATGTTGACTTTGTGGGAAGGGGATTACCCCCGGTTCGGACGGCTCTGTTTATATATCCTTTTATTCAGGTTTAAATTTAAAAAATTGTGTGCTGCCAGACAATTTTGAAGATCTTTTTTATATTATAGATTATAAAAATACAAACAAAGGTAATTTTTCAGAATTCAGATTGTTCTAACATTTTAAATTTACTTGTTTTTGGTACTTGGTAATTATGAAATTTCATTTTATAATTATTAAGTACCAAAACCAAGCAAATTAAAAATGTTAAAACAATCTAAATTCTCAATAACTTTCTGAGGTCTGCACTTGTGGAACTCATTTTTTTCCTAATAATAATAAACCTATTAGTTCGATTTCATTTTTAAAAGTAATTTTTGAGATTAAAAAAAAAAAAAAAAAAAAAAAAGCGAAATGTTTTTAAATATTTTCGCAACATTATTTAAAAAAATACGGCACAAAAATATTACTAGATATTCAAATAGTAACTACATTTAAGCTACAGCTCACTTTGAAACAATCAGGTTTTCTATCACCATCAGAGGTGCTTGGATATGGAACACAATCATTTTTTTTTTTCCTGTAGTTATTTAGGTGCTCCTAGAGGTCCTTACGGTCTTATTACAGAGCACTGTGGGAAAGCATTTAACAAGATGTTCACGCCTTGGACTGGAGCTGGCGTCGGACCTCTGGGTTATAAGCCAGAACCCAGAGCAACCACTGCGCCACGGCTGCTTATAATCAATTATGGCATTAATACGCTTGTAACTGTAAATAATTTCATATCAACACTCTAAGAGAATAAATTTTTAAATTTTAAATAGTGAAAGCATAGATGAATTCTTCAAGAAATATATTTAGTGGTCAGAATATCAAGAAATATATTTAGTGGTCATCAAAATATCAGCAAAATAAATATAGGATATTTGCTTTTTATTAGCAAAGATTAAGTTCTTTTTTTCGAAAAAGAAACTTTTTGATAAAAACTCTTTATCAAAAAGAACGATGAAAAAAATAATTCTGTATTAGTGTTTTTAATATGGTTAATACAAAAATCAATAAACGTTCTATGCTTAACTTTAAGGAATCTTTATCAACATTAAAATGTATACCATGAATGTAGCCTTGAAAACATAGACTAAAAGAACCTAATCATCTAAATTTCTTGGTGTGCTTATTGACTGGAATTTATATTAGAATCTTTATATAAAAGCTACCATTACACAAATATTTTAAAATGTAGTCTACATTTTAAAGCAAGATCCTTCCTATCATACAAAAACTTAAAACTTCTATATTTTTTGTTTTTTTACAACTACCTGTCATACCCTAACTAACAAAACTAAACTCAAACAATTGTATGAAATTTTTTTAATTCTTTATAAGTAATCTAAAAATTACTGTTGAAACTTGTAATTATTTTGTAGTTGTAAAAAAATATATGCAAAAAATATGTTAAAAAAATGTTTTGAATTTATTTTATTATAAGATTTAAACAGTAACTTACAAACTGAATGTTGATAAAAGTTTAAGACAGACTCAGACAACAAACAAATAAACTTTTTAAAATAAGTTCATAAAAAATTTGCAACAACGTATGAGAATCGTGAATATTTTTGTAAGATTTGATAAAAGACTGGTTTTAAGATTGTAACAAACACTTTCTTATGTTTCTTTTTAACTAAGTGTTATTTTAATTACTTTTTAATAAGCTTTAAGGTATTTTTTATATATTTTTATAATCTGTTTCTACTTTCTCTGAGAAAAGAAATGGTTTGTTAACCGCAAGATTTCGTTTAATTCCGGTAAAAAAAAATTTTTTTGGATGGATTGAAAATCGGGAATTCTTTTTTTTCGTACCAAAGTTTAGGAAACAAAAAACAAGGTCGATGTTCATTTCGAACGAAATATATTTTATTTTAAACGAAATGTATTTTATTTCGAACGAAATATATTTTATTTCGAACAAAATATATTTTATTTCGAACGAAATATATTTTATTTCGAACGAAATATATTTTATTTCGAACAAAATATATTTTATTTCAAACGAAATATATTTTATTTTGAACAAAATATATTTTATTTCGAACGAAATATTTAATAGGAAATGTGTCTTTTGCAAGTTGAATTACGAAATAAAACTATTTTACTGCATACAAATGTGGCGCTTACGGAATTTGCACTTGCAAAACGAAATCTTTCGCTAAACGACGTTTTGAAGTCTATAGAGAATGTCTGTTGGCCGAACGGATATAATTGTAAAAAATAAAATTTGTATAGACCAAATAAAATTTATGATAAAATTTTATTTTCAGTATTGCAACATATTAATGTTATATTTTTTGAAATAAGGATAAAAAACTAAATTTCTTTCGAAACGAAACTATTTCAAACCGCAACTCGCAAAACAGTTCTTAAGGGAAAAAAACTTACAAAACGCGGCGTGATAAATATATTTAATTGCGTTTTATGGATCAAATACGTGTAATTAACTAAGTAACTAAAATACTAGTTATTATATGATACTGATAAGTTTCAGTTGAAAAATTTTATAAATAAACCTTTCTATTTAAAAAAAAAATACTGACAACGGTCAAACGGCACGTGAAGCTAAATCAAACTTTGTAATTGAACCAAATATTTTACTGGATTTTTATATATGAGAGTATAAATAGTAAACCTCAATTTCTGCAAAGCCAAAGACAACAAGCAACTCAAAAGTCGTGAAATATATAAACACTGGCGTAGCGTTAGGGGGCAAAGGGAGCTAAATTTAACTCAAAAAAAAAAAAAAAAAAAATATATATATATATATATATATATATATATATATATATATATTACTGAAGAATCATTTAACAACATTTTTTTTATTTAAATAAAAAGTAATGACACTTTTTTATGTAACAGTTAAATGAATAATTTCGAATCTTTTCCGTAACTGCAGATTCCGCAATGCTCATTCCGTAAGGAACTGAGTACGGATTCACAACTCTTTCGTAAGTCCAAATTTTGCGTAAAGTTTGCGTAAGTTTTGCTTAAGTTTAAAGTTATACAAAGTCATATTCACAATAAGGATTGTGAATATGACTGCGTGAGCAAAAACTTAAGTTTTTACGTATGTTATTACTTACGCAAAAAGTCTAAAAAAAACTATTCACAACATAATTTTTAAAAGTTCACATCTTAGATTAGAAGTTTTTATATAATTTAATTAAAACATCTGTTATAGTATCGCGACGTTAGAATTATCTTGTGCTATCTCCATGTTTTTGCAAACTGAGAAAATCGATGTCAAAGTTTGAATTTGTTTGCAGCTAAATTGAAAAAATATTTTTAAAATTTAGGTATTTCCTAAGATTTAAAAATGTTTTATTATTAATTTTTAAATAAAAAAAACTTTTTAAAATTACGCTAACGCCCTTTTTTTCGCACCCTCTTTTGGAGATAGAACAAAATAACTTTGGTTTTTAGTAAAATTCAAAAATATTATGTTGTTACATCATATATATTAAACATATTAAGTACATTTTTCAACAACGACATGTTAGAAATTGATGAAATTTTGTTCTACCTGCTAATTATTCTTACGCAGTACCATACACTCCTAATTTATGGGCATGGGCCCCTAAAATAGGGGCATGGGCCCCTAAATTAGGGGCATGGGCCCCTAATTTAACGGGACCCTTTTCAAAATATAAGACGCTTTTTGTATTACCTAAAAAATTAAGTTTTTTTAAATAAAATGAGGCCCTAATTAGGAGAACTTTTAGAAGAGCCTCTAACGACACTGTTCTTACGACTTACATTTACTTTAATTACCTGTAGGCGCCGGCCCTGGACAAGACTAAGACGTCTAATTTAAAACGGAAAATTTGGCTGCGTAATAATAATATAAACGTATTAATATAATATAAACGTATAAAATAAATTATGAAAGGTATATAGGAAAGAGTTATGTTAAAAAAAATGTAATAATAAAAGAAATAACATTATGTAACTATCTGATAATTCACAACAATTCAACTAATCTAATCACAAATTCCATGCAAGATGAACTTGATTTTATTTTTCTTATGCCTGTGTATCCATTAATAGAGTTTAACTTTTTATTAAAAGTTATTGCAAATATTTACAAATAAAAAATTGTTACTCAAGTTAACGTCAGGAAGGGCATCAGGTTGTGAAACATTGCTTTAACTCTTTCATAGTGGCCTTTATGTCACTATGGAAAACCATCCAAACCAAACAAGTGGGGGAAAATGAATATAAAAGTACAAAAAAACAAACAAAAAAAACACAAGCTAAACAAAAATTTTTATCAAGATTTCAAAATAATATTATTTCAATGTGTTTTATATTTATATTTATACTAAATAAATATTTTATTTAAATATGTTATTTATATGTATATTATTTATATTATTATATATATATATATATATATAAATATGTTATTTATATTTATACTAAACATATAACAACCCTAAAAATATTTTGACTTTATTAATGTTTTGTAAATGTTCAATTTATTATTGTTTTATAAAATGCAATATCAACAGCAGGCATGTATGAATACATGGAAATGATATCATTGGCTTTTGCAACAGATATAGACTGATAAGAAGCACGAAAGCAAGCTGCCATTGGTATATTGGTATTTAATGGTTTTGCAACAATGGTTGATGCTGCTTTCTTGACAGACTTATTTATACGAGCTTGTGAATAATTATCTGAAAACGAGGTTTTAAAAAAAACATGGTATGGCAGTCCGTTTCAATAAACAAGATTTTTAACCTTTGAATAAGGCACTAACTTATACCTTGACAAACCAGCGACAACTGAAAAATTCTTTACATCTCCTAATTGCATTTGGTAAACACAGAAAGGTTTTTTACGGTTTACATTTTTAATAGCTCTTTCTAGCCCAAGTGGACTAAATATTTCTGCAGCAGAGAGGGATTTTTCAATCTGACTATGAATGTTGTCACATTCTTGAATGCTGGAATGACCTGGCTCGCAGAACTTCTGTTCAACTACTTTTATTTGTGGGTATCGTATTATAAATTCACACAAAGCTGCTGACATGAAACTATTATATAGATCATTTCCTCCACGACCAGTCATGGCTTCGTGCCAAAGGATGCAATAACCCTTCCTGTTAAGCGAGCAATGACCAGTTAAGTTATAATTTGAAAGTTTTCGTTTGTAATAAAAGTTTCCCACATTAGCTCTAGGCAAATTTAAAACATTTTCAAGGTCAATACAAACAATTGCAGTTTTAGAATCAACATTTTGGCGATCATTTTCACGTTCAGTTTTGGTATCATTCCTTGATTTTATGTGCTTATTATAACTATCTGTTTGTTCATTGCTTGCATTAACAATGTTGCGATACTCATAGCATGTGTCACATAAATCTTTCTTCGGTTTTTGAAATTCTATATTGAACTCGTGATTAAAGATATAACGATACATATGTTCTTTTGCTGGAGGAGAGACATTTTCATCACAATATATTTTATAAAGATCATATATTCTACCTATATTTAGTGATCCTTCCATGTATTCTTTATGTGTCTTTTTCCTGCTATAATGAGCATCAATTCTTGGGAAAAGGTTAATATGGTCTCGTACAACTTGTTCAGACTCTTCTAGTAACCTTTTTTTAACATGTTTCCCTGATTTTGATTGCAATGGTGTTCCAGTAGTTAAAGATTTATTAAACTTATGAAAGTAAAACACTCTATGGCTGCTAATATTCAATGTTGAAAGATAATATGATTTACAAACTCTATATTGTGTATTAGAAACAAAAAAGCTATAATAATAAGATGTTTTTCTTCTTGAATTGTCACCAGCAGCTGTCCGACAGCGTTTTTTCTCCAGATTTTCAGTAGTTTTAGAATAGAAATGTTTTTTTCCGTCATCATCTAAGGTTTAAAAGTTATCAAATATTATTTGACGCTCAATCTCAGATATATTGGTAGAACATTTAAATTTACAATTTCTGCAACTTTTTAGTGCAACAATAGATCTTTTTGGCATTTGTTCTCCTCTCGTATTTTTATAAGCTTTACCCGACTGACGTTGGATTTTTCTTACACTTTGTTTCCAACTACTCCTATCAGCTTTACGTTTCCAAGAAACCCCACCATGGGGCGACCGACGAGAAGGTGTAATGCCAAGCAGCTCTAACGATTAAAATATTAATTTTTTATTATCCAGGATGTATAAATAATAACTTTTAAATTTAATCTAAAATGGCACAAGCGAAAGTCGAATTCTACTTTTCCAAAATTATAATACAAATTAAGTTGAAAAACTACCTTCGTTTTGATTTAGGGCAGGTTCCATTTCTTGGTCAATATTTGCAGTTGCCATTTTGAAAACAACAAAACTGATAAAATTATTCCGAACAACTTTGTAATTGTAATATGATTGGTTGATTGGAGATAGAACAAGATAATATTTTCAAGTTTGCTCATTAAGGAGATAGAACAATGCAATATTGCATGCAATACCGTGTTAAAAGTTTCATTTTTTTTCAATATAATTAAAGTAGAACAACACAATGCTAAAATATTCGAAAATAATAAAATCTCAATTTTTTCAAAAATTGGAGATAGCACAAGATAATTCTAACGTCGCGGTATGTAAACTTATCCTTATATAATTCTTTATAATAAAATACAGTATTTCTAGGGGTTATATATGCCCTCGTTTTTCAAGTAATATAAAAAACCGTCAAAAAAACAAACAAATAAGAAAACTTCAATATAATGTGTTCTTACGTCTTAAATAAGAAAAATAAGGTTTCCAAAACGACGACGTGACGTAATCGCAGTCGTCTTCATTCAAACCACCTTCATTGGGAGAGCACTGGTGATACTGTATTTCCAAAGACTCTCTCACTTTTCTTTTAAAATAGTCTACCTCTATTTTAACAGTGTTGTTTTTATTCCAGCTATAGGCACCATGGCAATTTCTGGAATGTCACAGCTGAGTTTTTCCATTTTTCCTCATAAGTATGTTTTTGACGTTGGTAAATACGATTTGAAACCTAGAGTTTTGTTTCACCCACATAGAGTTTTCCACACAAACACTCCAGTTTGTAGACTCCTGGATAAGAGTTGTTGGGATGTTGACACTTGTTTTTTTGAGTTATTAATTGTTGAAGATTTTTTGGTGATTTAAAAACTGGAGTATAGCTTGCATTTTTAAATATTTTTTTTAATTGAATACTTAATTTTGGTATCCATGGCAGAGAAATATAGTTAAGTTCTAGTTTTTTCATGTTATTGTTGTTGTTTTGTTGATTATTTTGCTTATTTTTTTTTGTTTTTTTGACAATTTTTTGAAGTATTTTTTTTATTATAACCACTTTTTATATACATTTCTGTAAGAAACTTTAATTCATGATTTATGTTTTCTTTCCTGCATAATGCAAAAGTTCTTTGGATAAAACCTTTAAATATACCATCAATTATTTTTGGATTGTGACAATAATGCGGCTTCATTAGCACATTTGTTATTGCATCTTTGCGATAGATATTAAAAAAATATGTTCCGGATTCGTTATTTGTTATTGAGAGATCAAGAAAATTTATAGAGTTATTTTTTATTAAATTTATTATTATTTTTTTATATTACTTGAATAACGAGGGTATATATAACCCCTAGAAATATAGTATTTTATTATAAAGAATTATATAAGGATACTATAACAGATGTTTTAATTCAGTTCGATATTCACAACATTTTCCTAAAAAGTACTCAGCAAACTTTGCGCTAGAAAAGTTACGGTCTGCTATTTTTTAACTTAAGTTTGGCGTAACTTTAACGCTGTCGCTCGCGCAACGGTACCGTCGCTTTAATTTTTTTCACGGTAGTGATTTCTGATTGGTTGATTTTTTATTTTCTTTAGTAAAATTGGCATTATTTAAACATGTTGGCATTATTTTGGCATTATTTTGGCATTTTGGCATTATTTTGGGGTTTTTATTATTTTTTTCACATATTTTGATCTGAAATTTTCTTTAGCTCATCTTTTTAAACATTAGACTTACATTAAATTGAAAGTTAAGGGATATATTTATCTATTTAAGAAATACATAAATAATTTGTTAAACGTCGTTTTTTTTATTGAAAAATATATAAAAAAAATATGTTAAAACTGATGAATATATGACTTATAAATTAATTTTATTGAACACATAGTTAATAAAAGAGGTTCAATGTATTTTTATAAAGTTTTACTACTTTTTAAAAGGTTCGCTTTTTTTTTTTGTTGTTATTAATGAAAATTTGGCATTTTTTGTTGTTGTTATTAATGAAATTATTATTTTTGTTGTTGTTATTAATGAAAATTTGGCATTTTTTACACAAGCATTTGGCATTTTTTAGACGATCATTCGGCATTTTAGCGCAAAAAAAATCTGGCAACGCTGCTCTACTACCGAAACTTTAAGATAAAAATTAAAGCGACGGTACCGTTGCGCTAGACACAAATCATCTAATAATATTTAAAAATGGCGTTTTTATTATTGTAAAAGATTTCAGATTTTATTTGTTATTGCCAATAAAATATAATTTTATATTAATTTTGTTAAAGTTATTTATTTAAATAATAAAACTATAACTTTTTTTTAACAGCAACGACAAAAGCTGTTGCTTTCAATTTAATATTAATAATATAGTATAACTATATGATACATCATAGTCTATGATGTATTGAAAGCAACAGCTTTTGTTGTTGCTGTTAAAAAAAAGTTATAGTTGTATTATTTAAATAAATAACTTTAATAAAATTAATATAAAATTATATTTTATTGGCAACAACAAATAAAATCTGAAATCTTTTACAATAATAAAAACGCCATTTTTAATATTATTACCATATGATTGTATCTATACTATACTATCTATACTAAACTGTATAAAAATATACAATAATATTATTTACCATAAATATAGATGTACTACATAAACTTGTTATATAAAACTTGTTTTCTCCTTAAATTTAAGGTTAAAAAAATATACATACAATCTATATAATGGGTGGTTCACTCTCTAATAGCCTAGCTAAAACAAGGAGAGTGACTATAGTATGGATATATCATATAGTTTTGTAGTATGCCAATAACTTTTTGAATAAATTAACCTAATAACTAGTTATTGTCATACTTGAAAACTCTATGTCATAGAGTTTTCAATACATCAAAGACTATGATGTATCATATAGTTATACTATATTAACATATGATTGTATCTATACTATACTATCTATACTAAACTGTATAAAAATATATACAATAATATTATTGAAGCATATACTTTAACTTGCATAACTAGCATAAAGCGAGAGAGAGAGAGAGAGAGAGAGAGAGAGAGAGAGAGAGTCTCTCTCTCTGTACAAGAGAGGGGAAATATGTGTGCCAATTTAGATACAATATTCACAAAAAAATGTAATTTATTCATTAGTTTTTAAATAGTCTATTTATATTATTTACTAAATATCTAATTTTTTATTTATTTATAAATGAGAACAAGACTATTTCAAAATAAAATGATGTTATAGTTTTCTCTGAATAATCAGGCTATTGAATTAACAATGTATTATAACCTAAATATTAAACTTATTTTGAATAATAATCCTTTGTTTTCCGGTAATTTCAGTTATCAAGAGGTATTAACAATATTAAGATTATTTTGAATAATATTGCTCTGTTGTTAATTATTTCAATTATTAGGAGATAATAATATCTATGGATAATTTAAATTATTAAAAAAAAAGCATTGTTTTTCAAAGCCTAATTTCTTTGTAATTAATATTGTTATTTGCAAATAATAAACATATTCTGTAATAGTTTAAATTGTTTAAATTGATAAATCTTTTATTTTGTATTTTTATATAAAATATCATTATTGTAGCTTATTATTGCAAAGAGCAGTAATTCCATAAAAAGTTCCTTGATACAACACTTAGTCCAAATGGAATGCTTTTCACAAATCAGTAGAATTGTTATCTGTTGCTGTTGAAAATAGTATTACAATTCTTGAAATGAAAGCAAGTTTTTCACATTGGTTATAGCTATTAGATATTTTTCACATTGGTTGTAGCTATTAGATATTTTTCACATTGGTTGTAGCTATTTTTTTGTAACTGTTTTTGTTTCTTAAAAACTACAACACTTGTTCTGATTTAATCAATACTTGCTCTGTCAACGAGTCTTTTAGTGCACATGCCTAATTCACATAATTAACTTTACTCTATTCATCAAATATAAGAATAATGTTTTAATTTAATTTAATTATGTTAATACAACTGAAACTGTACTCATCGAAGTTACAAATGAAGATTTATATTGACAAGATAGTCAACCAGCAATAATGTATTTTTCATAATATGTTTTGCAAAAGTTGTTGAACTTTGGTTTATGTTTTCAAAATATTTTTTTTGAAAAACATAAACCTTTTTTGGTACCATAGGATGGGCGCCAAAAAAATGCCCCAAAATAATAATTTCTTGTTGTTTTTCATTTTCTTTTTATATTAAAAATAGAAAAAAAAATTCTTTCAAATGCAGAAAAAGTTTTCTGTATATTTTAGCTACTTTATTTAGTCAGTGATGTTTACAAATAAGGTTTGCAGCAGGCATAGGGTTTTCTAACTCGCCGCATCAAAACGGCAAAAAAATCTTGAAAATAAACTCTAGGTTCATCACTGCTAAGAAAGAATAAGAAAAATTTAGCAGAAGTGAAAAATAATTGAATTTTTACATATTCAAATAATAAACAATTCAAAAACTATATTATTAAAATAACTGAAGTATAAAATTATTTAAATGACTAAAAAAACAATGGGCATTCACTGATGACATAATACAGGAAGCCCATTAGTTATCTTATATAAGCTAAGGATAATACAATTTATATTACTCATTTGTGTTTGGGTAAATATGCCCCAATTAGTTTTTACTTAGTGCTTGTAGTGTTTATATTTACAATAACAGATATGAATCATTTTGTTAATAAATAATATCTCATTTAAAATCTAACCGACTCTTATTTAATGAATTATTTTAATTTTCAATTATTGATTATTTTGCTAATAGATATTTAAAATAGATTGAAAGACTGTTTATGCTATATGTGCTATTTATGCTATTACTTTTAAAAGCAACTGCACGTATATGCTATATGGGGCTATTCAAATACTACGAGACTTTTTTTAGACTAAACCCCCCATCCCTTCTTTTGTATATGTGACATTTTAAACAATACCTCCCCGCCCTCTTTGTGATGTGACATTTTTAAACAAATATATCTTCGAGAATGTCACTTTTTGCTTAAAGTTTAATAATCCGCTTTGATTATTATTTAAATTTTAAAATTTTGTCATGTAGCACTGTGGCTAACCACCCCCTCTCCCACGTAATATTTGGTGACACTCTCAAACACCCGTCCCCCCTTTACACCATTACCACCTATCTAAGAAT